ATAACTCTGGAATCAGCAGTAGAGCACATTATTATCAACATGACATTATGTTCCTTGTCCCTGCTGATAGTGGAACTAATTCTCAGCAGTGAGCCAATTCTGAGCAGGCTCACCTCAAGGCTATGCTATTTTTTAAAGTGAGAGCCAAGAGAAGCCGAGGCTAGAGAGACTGGGGAATCTCATTTCTTTTATTATGTTGATGTTTCATGACTAAATGCTATCCAGGTTCTCTCTGTGGTACCTGGCCAAGTCAAATTCTGATTACAGAAAAGATTGAGAGAATATGTTCAAAGCAACCCTGGAGAACTACCAGTGACAACCCGAGAAAACTATTAGTCCAGCAGCAACATTAAGAAGTCATAAAAGGAAATTTTAAAATGTAAAGGAACCAAAATCGGAACATGAAAACAATCACCAAATGTAATTCATAATGTTATAAACATAATTTTAAAGTATGTTAACAGGGCACCAACCAAATATACCCCAATATGTGCCATTTTGACAGGCAAGCTCACAGGTAGCAGGTCCTGTGAACATGGCTAAGAACATTTGGAGGCAACAAGCACATGATCTAATTGACAACCTAAGATCACGTTTTTAGAGTGTTACCTGCATTTACTATTTACTAGTTCGCTGAAGGACAACTACCCATTACCTTAGAAATGCAATCAATTTACCACTGCAGAGGCTAGAGAGAAAGAGAGAGATAGTACAGTCAGCTTTTTACAAAAGATGGAAAAAAAATCAGAAAGAAATTCAGCAAGGGCATTCTACCCCATAAAACCTGTAACTCACAAACACCAAAACGCACATGTCTCCGGAGAGCTCCAGTTGTGCTTGGCCCCGTGGACATTAGCTCACTCGGCTTCTGCAGGAGGCGGGGCAAAGTGAGCCATGGCTCATGAGCTGTGCATTCCAATCAGCCAGCTGAAGAAATAAGTATTTACACACTAGACAGCGCACAGACCAGGACCAGCAACACCCTCCATCTAATCTTCACTTGGGTGATATGCAATTTGTCCTTTAAAGTCAAGGCAAGCAGGTGCAGAATTTTCTAAGTCTTCAGCATTTGGTTGGTTTGCTATTCCATGGAGAGCTTTGCAGCCTCAGCCTGTGACATACGTCTTGTTTCAGAGTAGCGTCAGCACTAGGAAAGCCATTCTCACCCAGGAAGGGGAAAATGCTGCTGGGTGGGCCTGTGAACTCTGGCTAAGATACTTTGATAAGCTCTGGACGTGTATCAGTCATGTTTTAAAGCAGGGTTTTGAAAACTTTTGTGTTCTGCAGAAAACTGTTGGTTTGAATCCAGTAGGTGTTCTAAAGGTGAAAGTGAAGGTTTTACCAGGTTTTATGGGATTGTCTAAGTTTTTTACATTTTAAGGTTGTATCAGGATACACACCTTCCTTTTTCTTCATCTGGCCCAGAATCATAGCCAATCTAAAATGGTAACATAAGATGTTGCCATTTAATTAGTGGAAAGTATTCTAATTTGTTTTCTCTAGCCTTGAAAAAGAGCGACAATAGAGATGTTATTATAGTCCCTAAAAATTCCTAACCTTTTACCCCTAATAGTTACTTGCTTATTATTACTCTATTATTCCCTCCTTAATGAGAATTTTCACAAACTGTGTAGAATTATTTCCTGACCATTTGCCATTTAAAACCTTATATCTTTATAATAATTTCTTAAAATTGTTCTTCGTATAAATGACCTGTGATTTTTAAAAGTTTGAGAAACTTCGCCACCTTCTTAAAATGAGACCTACTAGCAGTTTCACAAGAGTCCAAGGCTCGCTCATTATTAATAGCCGGCGTCAGTTCTGGAGATTGGGAGGCCTTTGGCCTCTGCACTGGCCATGTTTTCTCCCTGCAAAGCGCGCTTTCCTGCTTAGCAAGGAGCTCGCTAGTGGCACTGTCAATACTATAACTGTCTGAAAAACGAAGCCCTCGAATGACCTTTTTGGAAACAAGATGTCCGTAAATCAGGAAATGGAATTATTTTGTAATCTCTTCCTGAGTTTATTTTCTGGCTTCTTGTACACTTCGGGAGAAAAAATATAAACTTCTAAGATTACAAAACTCTATAGCAGTTGCCTGTCAAAAAGATTTTGTTGCACAGTAGGCAACAAAATCTACATAAATAGCAAAAAATTATAGATAAACTCATTCCTTCAAAGGGCAACTCTAATATTTGACTATAAAGCTCTTTTAATTGTGATTTTTTTTTTAGCTTCTGTGTTAAACATGATCAGTCAGGTATGGCACAAAAAGAGAAAAAATACAACTTAAACAGATCAAAGAGAAGAATTTCTTCATAAACCCAACAACCCCAAACAGTAACAACCCTACCACAAGAGTCTACTTGCTTTATTGGCTCAATGGTCATTTTTCTAATGTAGTTATCAATTATTTTATAGGTCTCAGTATCCTGAGGTACTTAAAGTTAAATATTGCCCCTAACAATTACAGTAAGTGGTAAATAAAATAATCCAGCAAGTTAACTGCTAGCATATTTGTTTCTACAAAAGTGCAATTTGTGAAAAGAAAGTTCATTTTATGCAAGGTAAGCCTGGGTCTGGAATTAAATAGAGCTGGCAAGGCAGGTAAAATCACCACTTACTGACGTTTGCGTATTTGATTAAAAGTTAAACATGGTGATTAACAAAATGAAGAGTAGGAGCTGAAAGGAGACTATATTCTTTCCACAAAGACTCTATTTAGACACTGAAACAATAATCTAAGTGCTTTTATTTCAGTCACAGGCATATTATTCTATTTAGAAACATAAAGGGAATAAAGTATTGCCCAGCATGTAGTTATAGAAGGTAAAGGATTAAAGAAACCATCACAACACAACTTGTCTCTTATAAAGGAAAAACTTCAATTAACACCACTTTAAGGATCTCAGGCTTCTCTTTATCTTTCTAGAGCTTCAACTCTGCTCATGGCTGTCTTTCATTTCATTTGCTTTACTTTGATGACATTGGAGAGGTCTCCTAAGAGCACTGGGTGACATTACATCCACTCTATTTGCTGATAGAGAAAACGTGTGCTTTTCCGTTTGCCAGAGGATTGGACATGGAATGGCCCGAACAAACGCAGGTAAGCGTACACCACGACTGATAGACGGGGGACAGCCTGGCCAGCCCCGATGTTATTGTTTCTAACTTTCCGCAAACATCAAAGTCCTATTTTGCCACAAATACATGAAAAAATGCTACGTGATCACAGCTGATAGACTTTCTGCTTAGAATGTGTGCCTGTGGTCCCCCTGCAGGGAGGTCCATCCTAAAGGTTGCCCAGGGGCCAGAGAGAGACAGAGCTTCCTTTTGAAGCTTAGAACATTTGAGACCCCCCAGGGTTTGGCCATTCTGTATGGCCTCCACGTCACTGACAGTCCCTTGATGAGGAAGCAGTAGGCCCTTTCATCATCTTTATTTGGCTGATGACCTGTGTATTTTTTGTTGTAGTGTCTCTGGGACATCTATGTCCAAAATGATGGCAGGATGAGACTGTTACTTTAGACTCTAAAGGCTATGGCTTTAGACTCCCCCTGAACCTGATGACCTAGAGCCTCACTTAACACACAAGGATATATATATATATATATATATATATATATATATATATATATATTTAAAGAGCAAATGATCAATGGAAACGTTCAATGAAGAAAGGTATTTTAAGGAGAGCCAGAAAGGCAAAAAAAAAAAAAAAGTTACTTTATAAAGGGTAGGACATTTTCAGAGAAGGAAAAATAGCTAGAAAATGACAGAAGGCTTGAGAAAATAATAATTATAATAATAGTCTTAACATTTACTGAGCTCTATTGTAATATCTGTGGGTTTTCTACAAACTGACTCATTCAGTATTCATAATGGTCTTTTAGGGTGATCAGGACTAATATCTGCATTTTGAAGATGAGGCAAGGATGTTTAGAGAAGTCAAGTAGCGTGCACAAGGCCCCCCAGAGAGGAGCTAAAATCCGTTGCTGAACCAAGCCAAGTAAAATTTTGGTGTGACATTTAAAGCAACATTGTTGGGTCCTGAACCCACATTTGTAGCGGTACAGCAGTGGGCCAGAATCCCCAGCCAGCCCTTTAAAACCAAGATTATGGAAACGGGGCCTAAAGAAAGCTAGAGTCAGAGCTCTGAAACAGAATACAGAAATAATCTGAATTTAGTTGACACAGCATCTTAGCCCACAGACATAGGACCAAAAGCTGGGAAAGAAAATGGTGACAATTCTGTAACATGGCCACTTGGGGATAGCAGTCAAGGGACACAATGGCAAGATGACACATCTGAGAGCCACTGAGTACGACTTCAGATGAATCACTACGTGCTTCCATCAGTAACCCTTCCATGTTGTTGTCTAAATTTAGATTCCAGTTAATATAATTAATATCATTATTATTATTAATATTTACATGCAAAGATAACAACACTGTACCACTTCCATCCTTAGAATGCATGCTTGCTGCTGTTTCTTAGGAGAGGTTTGTCCTGAACCTTCTACTCTCCGACCTGTTTTCCCCAAACAACTAGAGTAATTAATTATTTTTGGCCTCCAAAGAGAAGTATGACTTAATGTCCAAATAGGTAAATTCATCATCTGACCCTGAATTTCATGTTTTTATATTCCTACTAAGGAAAAACAACACATTTTCTATAGGCTCTTAAACTAATGATTTGTTGTACTGCTGTGTATGCATCATGGGAAGAAGAAAACACTTAGCACTTGCACTGTTTGCCCTGAGATTAACCTTTCTTCAGAGCAATTAATGTCAAGGACATGTGATGACCATGTCATAGCAATCGACCTTCTCCCCTTTATACTTCAAAGCAACCCACCAAAGATGCCAGAATAAGATTAGAAAAATATTTATTGCTCTGTTGAATGTGGGGATAAAGAGCTCTCTTTGCTGGCAAGGTCACCATGACTATTTGTTACCTTTTGACAGTTTTTAGAAGCTAGGCAGAGAGAGGAGCTACTCACGTTCTCCTTGTCAGGAATCCCTAGAAGAGCAAAAGGAGAGAGAGAGAGAATGAATGAGAAGATCAACCTGTAAAATGGAGCTGAAACCCTATGCTGAGTCAAACCAAGTAAAATTTGGTGTTTAAAAAAATCCCCCTACATAATGCTGCCTTGAAAAGTGGATCAGTGACCCAGGAGCGGGGCCATGCGCCAGGCAAGCAAACCCCCTACTGATTCTGCCTTCCCACTGCGTGCATCGCCGTCCCAGAGGCAAACATTTACCCCTGACATGTTTACACCATGTGAGCGACTAATGCCTCTGTCTTGGGCACGAGAACACTCGAAATTTTAGACAGACACATCAAGTATAAGTGACACATTTGTAATTTTACATTTCAAACCCCCTCACACTGCTCCAGGATTTGAACCTAGCGGCAGGCTGCACATAAAACCCACCAGAACACATCTTCCATTTGGGACAAAGCAAACTCCTGCTGCCTCCAAGTCAAGCCTAAGCAGGGCAGCGGCTGTTTCCAGGGATAGCTCAGTTTTCTGAGCAAAAAAAGTTAGACATTCATCCTTCACTTATTTGTTCATTCATCCACAAACACTTTGTGAGCATCTACTACAGGCGGGTCCCGGTCCTTTGCACTTCCTCTGGGGCTGCCATGTGACAGACGTGGTGGGTGAGGGTGCGCATCCCAGAAGGTCCACAGCCCCCGCGGGGCTTCCTGCTCCCAGGGACGTGGACACAAGTGGTGTGATATTGAGGAGACAGAAGCACAGGTGGTTTTAAGGCAGCCTGCACCTAGTTTTGAACTGCTGGGGCCGTGTGAGGTGGTTTACAATGTTAACGTACAGTACGTCCAAATTCTGAATAAACAGAACGTTCCGTGGTTAATACAGGACCATACTGATTTATAATATTGGCATTAAAAGAACTGAGCACCCATCTTAATGGGCAGCAGTATAGTACACAGGAGAGATAAAAATGAAAGAGGTTATTTGAAAACATTCCCTGACCAAACTTTGGCTCCCAAACTGGGATAGCACCAGGACATAAACAGAGAATACTAACGGGCAGGTCTGTCATCGCTTCCCAGATCTGTCAGAAGAAGTAAGGGTGGCCCAATGTCAGCACTCGGAAACTCACCTTGAACCTATCCACCCACCCATCCATCCACCCAACCGCTCATTCAACGACCGTTTGGAAGGACTGAAGTTGACTTATGAGGAGATACGGGGGTGTAATGGGAGCTTACTTTATAGGAGGTTTAATAAGACAACTACAGAGTTGCACAAATCACCATAACTGACTGGCTGGCAATTAGGGTCTCTGCAGAGAAATAATATTGAGAAGGAGATCTGGGGCCATGCAGGAACTTGAAAGTTGGCCTAAGGCATTAGCAGCCTTAGAATTCACCGTCCTTGGCAAGTGTTGGACAATTGTTAAATGGTTTTGAGTAACAGAGACATTATGACCAGGAAAAGGATGGAAAGGGACTGTTTATAATTAAAAGACAATTAAGACATAAGAACAAGATTCAGTGGCATGGTTCTTGATTGAGGTACAGTTTGAGCAATGAGCTATAAAGATATTTGGCTGGGGAAGTCTAAGTATAGACTAGGTAGTAGATGTTATTAAGGAAAACCATACCAGCTATTAGGTGTGATAATAGTGTATGGTTATATGTGGAAAATTTTTTATTAAAAAAAAACCTGTTAAAGTATTTGGTGTGAAATGTATGTGTACAATTAAAAGAAATAAATATGGCAAAATATTAATTTTAAAATACACACTAAGTTAATAAGTGCTATTTAAACATTAAGATATTAACTAAATTGAAATGATGAAAACATGGGTATTAACTGTATCATTCTGTATGTTTGAATTTTTTCACAACAGAAAGTAAGTAGAAAGAAGTTCTGTATGTCAGGTACAGGGTAGACCCAGGGTGAGATACTGAAGGTTCAGAGCCAGCTAAGTCATTCTTGCCCTCAGGTCAAGAGTGACGAGGCCTTCAGCCAGGGGGCTATGGAGGGAGCAGGAATGAAAGAACGTGAACATGACAAATGAAGGAGCAAGGGATGGACAAGTGATGGACCTCAGCGGTGGAGGTAAGAGAAAGGAGGGGTTTAGAGCCTGGTACATGCAGGAGAATGGCGGGGTTATGAATGAAAATGCACCGTCAGAGGAAAGGTCGGTTCTGTGGGAACCAGGATGTATTCTGTTACTGACATTTTGAGTTTATGAAGCCAACAGGACATCTGGATAGAAAGAGAACCAGCAGTCCTTTGGAAAGCTAGGCTGCCCTTTGGAGGAATCAGAGGTATGGGTTCGAGAAGTATTTATATCAATTGCAAGAAAGGATGCCATGGTCAGGGGGAAGTACAGAGAAAAACAGCTAAGGCCAGACTTGTGGGTTATACCTAAATTCTGAATGAAAGGAAGAAGTATCTGTAAAAGAGACAAACATTTAAGTAACCAGAGGGATACAAGGAAACCAGGATAATGCAGGGGAGCCTGACACAACAGGAAGATGGAGTGCAGGCAAGGAAAGTCTTACTCAGAGTGGGAGAGAATGGGGCGTGGTAATGCCTGAGTCTCCTTACTGGTTGGTCACTGGAAGCTGCAGCGTGGTTTGAGTCAAGGAGTGTGGGGAAGAAGCCAGACTTGGAGGGGTTAAAGGGTCGCTGGTAGTGAGGAAATAATAGCTAATATCATTTTGGCGCTAATTATGTGCTTGAAGCCCTTCCAAATGCTTGACATGTTTTGCTTCATATACTCTTCCCAGTAACCCTGTGAGGAAACTGAGGCACAGAGAGACTAAGTGCCTTGCCCAAGGTCACGCAGCCAGGAGATAGCACAGCTGGGAATAGCAACTCAGGTGCTCCCCATGAGTCAGTCATCCCTAGATCAGTCAGGAGAGAAAAATCAAAACAGGGAAGCAAAGGAGAGGAAAGAGAGGCCTGTCCTCCCCCAGGACAGATGAGAAACAGAAGGAGAGGGCAGAGGCTGCGCAGACATTGCGAACAGAAGAGGAGGGAAATGAGGAAGCGCGCTTAGATCTTGGGCAAGCAGGGAGGAGAATCCCCTGTAGAAAGCGACCAATCTGGGATTGAGGGCAAGGATTCCAGGCATGAGGAAGAGGATTTGAAGGGTGACTCTCGGGCTCTGAAGACGCTTGGAGTGGAAGTGCTGCCTGTTCCATCGCTATGTCTAGCTGAAGTGCTACGGCCTCAAAAACCCCAGCACTTGGGACCTTGTCACATGAAAACATGCAAGAGCCAAATAAGAGGGCTTAGAGTCGCAACGAGCATCTCCCAGGGACGGTAAGGAGTGCTAAACAGATGCTTCTGACATTCACAAACTGAGAAATCCTGTGTCCTGACCATGTTTATCTGAGTCTAGTGGGCGGGCACCCACTAGAAAAGCACATCACAGAGAAAACCTCCCTTTCTTTTCTGATCAGGCAGAGACTGTTTCTCTTATAAAAAAAGGCCTGGAGTTTAAAGAGGCTGTGATATAAGGAGAATAATGACTCAGCTGCTTCTCTCCTTGATCAAAATGAGCAAGAGGGTGGGGTTCTCAGGTACATACAAGTGACCAAGACAAACGTAGTTCATGAATCCCATTTTTTAAAAGAGCCCAGCAACATTGGATTTTGCAATAAAATGAAGAGATTCTGAGAAGGCATTCTAAGTATGCTGAAATTCCAACTAGCACCAGAGCATCAGCTAAAGCCATAAAATAATACTATATTAACATTTTGTAAAATAACCCACGTGGGCTGGTGGGTCTGTTTATTCACAAAAGAGTCTGGGAATTTAATCTGTCAAGCTGGTGTAGGACATATTTTTGTCACATGAAAACACACACCACATGACACATCTTTAGATACAAATGTTCACATTTTTCACTTACTGTCATTGTTAGAGCCCGTTTCCATAACACCATAAGGAGGAGCCAGAAGTCCTGCCATGTACTGCCGGTATTTCTGAAAGACAAGATTGTAAACTCAATACATAGTTATTTACTCCCTTGGAACACTCGTTTATTTACACATTAAAAAGCAGAGACACTGGTCATCAGGAAGCATCTGAGTCTTGCATTTATAGAGCCTCAAAACACACTGGGACCTGTGGCCTACAGTAAAGGTACGGTGTTCTAAAGAGGTGTTCCTGAATGTGCTCCTGCCCGGGGCGGGGGCTCCATCTCAGACAGTTCACTTATGTCGTTGTGACGGATTAACCGACCTGTGTGGGCTTTCAGCCTTCCTACTTCTCCTGCCCTGCTTCCCACTCCTGCAAACACAGGCTCAGGTTTTGGTAAAGGGGAAAGGCACTTGGTTTTTACAGCTGCGGATACAAATAAATAGGTGGTGAATGACACTGAATCAGCTTTCTTTCAGAGCAAAAAGAAATACATCCTTAGAACATGTCTGTTTTGAAAAAAGCTGATTTGCTGCCATTTACCTACTTCCTTTTATATCGTACACCTGCCCGTTTTGTGACCTCCAAGGAACTGTTGGTATGTTGTCAGAGAAGAGTTTGGCTTCATTTAGAACCACCTGGATCCCCCTGATTTGGATCTCCCTGATTTTTGGCCCAGGCACGCTTTAAAACCTGGGGCTTGGCGATGTATATTAGCCCTCGAAGTCTGTGCTGTTTTGAAGGGACAAGGCCTCGTGAGCATAAAGCAATCTAGAGCATCCTGTGACAGAGGAGTGGCATTTAGGAAGAATGAAAAATGAATATTAGACATCCTCTCTTGTCAGGTAATAATACAGCCTCCTCCCCTTTCAAAATGAAAGCTGGGCAATTTTATGTATTGCATGGTGTCATGTATATTTATGGTTTATAATTATGATGACACACAAACGTTAAGCAACATCAAAAGAATCAACACTCTATAATGTGCTTGTGGGTGGGTTACACGAACATCAGCAGAAAAGACTTCATCTGTAGCAATGGGCAGCTGGCAAGATGCAACATTTGAGCAGCCATCTGGCCCATTTGGTGTATTTGAATGGTGTTTGTAATGTCACATTGACGATTTCTCAGAAAAGCCTTCTTCCAGTCAAGATGTGACTAGCTTTTATTTTTTAAATCCATTTTTGCTCTCATTCTGAGGCGACTATACCAACACCTGCATGCAAACATTAAAAAATCATGAATTTCTCTGCCTCTGAGTTAACTAATCATTCAAACATACCCCCAGGACCAATCTACCACCCTGAATCCTGGACATTGCCTTTGATAACTTCCCAATTCTGATTCTATTCTTTCTTCTGACACTATCTACTCTTCTTCCTCACCAGACAGCATTGATTAAACACATTGCTCGGCATGATATCATGCTGAACTCAGAACAAAACAGGCTCAAAGAGAGGAGCCAGAGATGGAGATATGTTCTAAGAAAGTTTTGTGACCCCTACAGCCTTTTGAGCTATTACTCTTACTGTTAGCAACTCCCTACCGGGCTCCTAAAAGAAACAGTTCATGTTCAATTAAAGGGGCAATTTTACTTTGCTTAGAAATGTTTCGGACGCAGAGGATGTTCTTTGTCTCAGGCACCTCAGCATCAGCTTTCACGAACTCCACAGGAGCACCTTCCTGACCCCTGAATGAATGGGACTTTGCCTTCCTTCAACTCCATAGAACTGGGTCTGGGCTCGCTCACGGGGCACATCATCAGGGACGGAGCTCCTGGGAATAAAAAATAGAGCGATCCTCTGGGACGAGAGCATGGGCTGAATACCTACTATGTGTAGAAAGTATCCTAGACACTGGGCTCACTGCAGAGAACAAGTTGACGAGGCCCCTTGCACTTGTGAAGTGTGTGTCTCCTATAACATAGAGCGCTATGGCTTGCACGCAATACAAACTTGACACTGACCTGTTGAATTTTAGAATTTTTATGGAAAATTTCAAATATATGTAAAATCAGACAGAATACCACATACCTAACACTCGGGCTCAATAATTATTAACTCCTGACCAGTGTTATTTCATATATACTCCTATCGCTTGCCTCTTCCAGAATTATTTTGAAGCAAATCCCAGATACATCACTTAATCCATAAACATTTCAGTATGACTCTCTAAAAGAACTTTTTTTTTTAAACAAAACCACAATACCAGTATCACAACTAAGAAATGTAACATCATAATACCCGGTCAATATTCAAATTTCTGTTTCAGAAATGTCACACTGAATTGAATTTAAAAAGTACTATATTTAATAAGACAACATTGGTTTCCATATAACAACTTTTGGTATAGTGGAGATTGCAAAACCAGAATTGAAATATTTATGCCTATAAATAAAAAACTCCACTTTCTAAAACTGGTGGGGAATTTTTTAACAAACATTCATTAATGCAGGAAAACTGATTTCTTAGGTAGCACCCTGCAGTGCATCCTCTATTAATTAGAATAAAAACAGCTAACAGGTATAAAATGTATATCATAAAATTGGTATTTCTAAATTATTTGCATATTGCTTGATCTTTAGGTGGCTCACCTTCCAATTACCAGTTAAAAAACAGTCTATAAAAGAATAGATGAAATGAATAGAGGCTGAACCTCACTCATGACAGAAAGGCACATTAAAACGACAGTGCAATATCATGTTTTAGTTGTCAGATCTGGAGAAGTTTCAAAAAGTTTGCTAACAAATTAGTAGTGAGAGTGGGGCAAACAGGTTCTTTCGTGTGTGGCTTATTGGAGTATATAATGATACAGCCTCAGTGGAAGGTAATTTGGAAGTATCAATCACATTTTAAAATATATATTTCCTTTGAGAAAGGAACCTCCCTTAGAGTGCAAAGGTAGAGCCCCCTGAAATACCTGAATACATAAGCAAACACGCCTATCTATTTGTAATAGCAAATGAAACAACAACAAAACAAACAGGAGATAACCCAAATGTCCAGAAAGTATTAGATGACGTGTGGGCTACTTCCAGAGAAGATGAAGGTGGGTATTTCCTAATAAACAGATGATGTTGGAATATTATGCAGCCATGAAAAAGAAATGAAGCACCACTACGTGTGCCAATATGGAATCATCTCCACAATATACTGTAAAATTTTTAAAAAGCAAACTACAGCATTGTGTGTAGAGTATGCTACCATTTTGAGATAAAAGATGTGTGTATGTGAATATCCATAAAGATTTGTAAATGCATAGCCTCTTCCTGGACAGATATACAAGAAAGTAGTGAAAAATGACTGACTGCCTGTGGGACAGAGATCTGGGTGGCAGAGGGTCAAGTGGGAGGGAGGCTCAGTGTTCACTGTTCATCCTTGGCTGGGCCAGCACTGAGGCCAGGCGACCACCCACTGTGTCTGCCTGCTCAGAGGCTGGACTGGTGGGGTTGGCCTGCAGCGGCAGTAAGTGTCAGTCATCTGAATATGCGTGAGTCTAGTAGCAAGGGAGAGTGGCAGCAGGGGAATGAGAAAACAGCTCTTCTCTCTTAGTTTATTATGTGGAGGAGGGAGTCATTCCCTTCAACTATAAAATCCTCCAGAGGCGGGGAAATTGGGGAATTAGATACTAGGCTTCCTTGAAATAATGATGAATGAAAAAAATAGGAGACAACTATATTAGTAAATCTAGACTGTAGAGTAGTTCATATCTTCATAGCAGTTTAAAAGCTGCTTCCAGCTTTCTGAGAAGCAGAAAAAAACTAAAGGGACTGAAGCAAGGCCATGATCAGAAAGGCCCCCATATGAAAGTCAGCACAAGGCCAGCTTAAACCTGAGGTCAGCAGTTTTTCAGAGGCGAGTCAGCACATTTTTATGGTGGTTACTCAGTGTCACCCCTACACACTTCCCCCACCCCAGCTGCTGGGGTGTGTAGGGGCCTGGCTGAGTCCCTTGATCATGTCCTCTTTGGGGCCCTGATTGACATTCCCTTGCAAAACTTTTCCCTGGATTCCAACACACTCGAATACCTCATTAGCTTCAGTGGCCTAGCTAAACCATTCTTGAATTGCCATATGCATGGGGAAACAGCTGTGCCTTTAACTGCACGGGCACTGGCCCATACCGTGCCGGGCCCCTGGCTGGAGGGCTCCTCAGCGCTCCCACTCCCTCGCCCTCCGGGCCTCCTGAGAGCAGTTAGGAAATCAGTTTTCGAAAGGACAAGAAAACCACAAGGGCCTAGAAGGGCTTCGGGAGAGTTTGGTAGGCTTCATTCTTAGGATCCATTCCTGGCTCCGCCACTAGTCAGCTGAATCATCTCAAACACGTCATCCGAGCTCTCTCACTTCAGCCTCTTCATCCTTAAAATAAGTGCTCCGAATTGATCCGGGGTTTCTAAACCTTGTTCTTTGGCAGAACCCTGAATTCCCTCAGGCGAGAGCACCATGCAAACAGAGCCTTCAGCCTCTATGGCAACTAGAGTGTTTTCACCTCTGTTTTTTTATAAATTAAGAGTTCCAAGAACAATTTCATTTGAAATATGACTTTTGTTTTTTAAAAAAAATAAAAGTTGACAGCCCTGGCTGGTGTGGCTCAGTGGGTTGGATGTTATCCTGCAAACCAAAAGGTTGCCGGTTCGATTCCTGGACAGGGCATGTGCCTGGGTTGCGGGTTCAGTCCTCAGTTAGGGTGCCTAAGAAAGGCAACCAATCAATATTTCTCTCATGCATCAATGTTTCTCTTCTTCTCTTTCTTTCTCCCTCCCCCCTCTCTAAAAAAATTAAAAATAAATAACAATTGACAAACCACAAGATTAAATAATCTCTAAACTTCCAGCCAGACAGAGGTCACTCAAAGTGTTCTATGAAGAATCAACAGAGACCAATTTAGGTTTTGTCTAGAAAGTACTATGGACTCTATTCTCTGTTAGGAAGACTTCTGTGGTTGTGGATTGAGCAGGTGAAGGTCGCTCCATACCTGAGAGGTCCATTAAAAACAAACAAACACACAAACCAAAAAAAAACAGGCACTAAGGTTTGAACTGAGATGCACCAGAGTGCAAGGCTGAC